TATACAGGAAGCAGACCACATCCCTAAGGCAGCTACTCAGTAGATTCCACCATGGAGTTGATTACCAGTCTCATCATGAGGAATAATACTATATCTGGTTGCCCAGCCACTCAACCAGGCCCAGCCAAGTTGACACACAAACTGAACTACCACAGGGTCCCATGACTACTTGCTTTAAATCTCTGAAATGCTTTCAATCTCAAAAGGAACCAAAAGGCACATTTTGTTATGAGCCGTGTACTTGACAAAAACACAACTGATGAGCTTACTTTACTTTCAGATCATGAGCAAGCAGAAATGAGGTAGGGCCTGGTCGAGGAGTTCACCATCAGTGGGAACCCCACTGAGGGTTAAGGGTGTGTGTGCTCAGGTATGTGTGCACATAATGCATACATGTAGGGAACAATCCAGGATCCTTCAAGTACCTCCAGTAGTGCAGTAAAGGGGAAAGTTGCAAAAGGAAAAGATAAGTTTAACCACCTTCTGTTTCAGAGGGTAATATTGGAAGGAATTTGAATCCCATAAGTAAATTAAGCAAGAGCCAAGGGGTGTCTATAAGCAAGTTGTTTTTAAGTCCCATTAATTCTTGGCTCCTATTTGTGTCAGTTGAGAAGGCTGTGAAAGAGGCTAGACTGTGGGTTGTAGCCCTAGCCAGTTTCAATGCAGTTCATTTAGTTAAATGAAATAGCAAACTTCTGACTCCTAATCAGGAGCTCTGGTGGTGTATTGCCTAAGGCATCTGACTGCTGACCAGAAAGCTGGTGATTCAAACTCACCAGCCACTACTCGGAAGGAAGACTGGGCAATCTACTTCCGTACAGACACTGCCTTGGACACCCAAGGAGGGGTCGCTATGAGTCAGATCCGACTTCACGGCAGTGAGTTAGAACTCCTAATTATTCCTTTATACAGAGGAGCTGAGATGCTGGACGGATATTCTCTCCTCTGCTGGGACCCAGGGCCTTCTACTTCACTGTGAATTCTGCCCATCTAGCCTTACGGATGCCTCATGTGGTCTAGCCTCCAGAACAGCAGCTAAAATCTATTGCACACAGCATCTGTTCTAAATGTTGTTGTTGTTATTTGCTGTCCAGTCGGCCCCGACTCATAGCGACCCCTCCTTGGGTTTCCAAGGCAGTATCACTACGGAAGTAGATTGCCCCATCTTCCTTCCGAGGAGTGGCTGGTGGGTCTGAACCGCCAGCCTTCTGGTTAGCAGTCACTTAGGCACTAAGCTACCAGAGCTCCCTCTGTTCTAAATACTGGTCCAAATTCTGGCTCCTTAAATCCTCAGAGCAGTTCTAAGGTGCTCTCATTATTCCAGTTTTGCAGACAGAGAAAGAGGCTCAGAGGGGTTAAGTGACAAAAGGCTCACCGTGAGTAAGTGGCAGAGCCTCGATGCCAGCCTAGCTGGTCGTATGCCGTCTGGTACCTTGCTCTGCAAAATCTGCAATTCCTAGCCCGAAAACAGGTCTAGCCACTGGGGCTTGGTGGTCTTGTGTGGACCACTGGAAAATATCAGATATACCTGTGTTTGCCTTGCCTTGGAGTAGAGTGCCAGAGGCCTAAGAATAGAACCATAAATCCAAGGCCTCCCTACCGTGTGCTGCCAGGATAAAAACGACAGTCCTTGTCTCCACACCACACTGCATGAGAGATTTCTGGCTCCCCTGGTAAAAAGAGCATTACTTTTTTTTTTTTTTTTTTTGGTCTCTTACCATTTTTCTTTCTCTTCCTGTTTCTTGCGCATGCTCTCTCTCTCGCTCGCTTGCTCTCTACTTAGTGCTCCCCCTTCTCACTGCCTTTGTTTTCCCTCTTACTTCTCTTTGTTCATCCTCTTTCCTACTTTTTCCTCTTTCAAGCCCCTAATTACCTCCCTCCTCTTCCTTTCGTTTCCTCTTCCTTCCTCACCCCTCTTTCCCTGTCACGTCACTTCCTGTACTTCTCTTATCTGCTAGACTCTTTCCAAAGGAGATAGAAACACAGGGAGACGGGGTTGGGTGGCCAATGTGCCATATCCACTCCGAGAGCATTCTTCCCAATTCTCTTTCCCTGTTAGAAAGGCAGGGGTGATTCTGAAGCTTTGCTGAGCCCTAATTCATTAGGGAAGTTGCCTCTTCCCGCATGATTTTCCTCTTAGCAATCACTGGGAGCCTTTAAAATGAAAGGGAAGGGTTGAGAGAGAGGAGTGGTCCGAGATTTCCATAAATCCTCCTGGGTCCTACCTTCTGCAGACAGCTGAGTGCCTCATGCTCTCATTGAACACCTTTGGTCAGGTATTTCTCGTTTGTCCCTGCATTCAGAGCTTCTGGTTAGAACAGGGAGGAAATTCACACTTTGGCTGATCCCAAATTTTCATTGTACAGGAAGCCAAAGAACAGCGACAAGGAGAATGGTCTGTGGCATTCAGCAAGCCAGGTGGAGAGATCCGGAACTTAAGCCTTTGGAATCCACTCCAAGGCTCTTTGTTATAGACACTTCCTTTTCTATTCACAGTGACTCCACTCTCCCCTTGGCATTAGAGCATCCTCCTGCCACTTGACTTTACCACCAGGGAGACCAGGACCTGGGCCAGCCTGATGAGCAAGAGGAGGAGGAAATATTAATGGGAGACCTTCCTTGGTTGCTTCATGGTTGGATTGCTATGAAGCTACCCTAAACTTCTCTACCCGTTAGTTGTCCAGGCCCATGATATTTATCAGTCTTGTAGGCCTGCCCCACTCTCTCTCTCTCTCTTTGTTTCTGTAGGCTATGTCCCTTGTTGGAAGGCTGCATGATTACCTTACAATTATTACAATTACACTGGGTTAGAAAGTTCTTCTATGCTTAACTATGACCTGTCTAGGATATTGGATTCAAATGTAATTGTAGTCTCTTTCATTAATTGATTTACTGTGCTTTATGGAAATCATTATTTCACACAGTAAGCATATGAACATTTGCTTCTTCAGCCAATGAGCCTGGCAGTGTGTCCAAAAGGACAGTCATTAGGGAGTATGTTTTGGGTTCTGAAGTGTTGTCTTTTCTCCTTTCTGCACAGAAATAGCTCTAGGGAAGCCTGTGCTCCAGATGAAAGCCCAACTATTTAAAACACTGCTCTAGTTTCAGAGACATGTTATTTACTGATTACGCTAGGGAGTAAATTGTGTCTTTTGGTGAATTGATTATAGTGTTGATTATTATTAAATGATGCTCATGATCTCTTCTGAAAATGGAATGTTTGTGGATGAGAGTAGGGGGCTTGAGTATGTTGAATGTATCAGTGCCCGAGTAGGGGCACAGTACATGAACCCTAAGAGGTGGTTCTGGGAAAGTCAGCAAGGTCAAAAGTACATCTGGGCCCGAATGCAGGGCTGGGTGAGTAGAGTGGATATGCTTCACATGTAATAAGGATATACCCTGCCTCCCATGAAAAAAGGGAAAGGAGATAGTGCCGTGGACCGCAGGAACAGCCCCGAGATGCATGCACACCAAACCTTCTGTGGGTTTTGTTGGCGTTAGTCGTGCTGCTGGTGTGCTCTCCTGGAGTCAGGTGTGCTGGGCTGGAGCAGGCTTGTTGGAATCGACTGCAATGGGGTGGTGTTTGGCAGGCTGGAATGAGTTTGGTTAGGCTGGAGCAGCCTGCCCTGGAACTCAATAATGGGATAACTTCACTTCTGAGAGTATTATTTTCCACCCGGTGGATCCAGGATGAGATTCATCTGACATACCATAAATCTCCAGTGAATGCCATCCGGGAAAAAAGCCCCTGTTTTATGTACTAAGGATAGATAAGTTCTGTCGGAATTGCCCTTCAGAAGTTCTTGGATTAGGTTGGAAGGCAGATGAGTAAACAGATACTTACAATGTAGGAAAATAAATACAAAATGTATCAAGTGATACCAATCATTTCCAAATCCCAGACACTGAACCCAACAAAAGTTTATTTCTCATTCATCAGTGCAGTCTATTGTGGATCAAGACACCTCTCCAGGGTGATTATTTTCCATGGTTGACTCACCCTTCCAGACTGTTTTTATCTATGATAGCTCCATATCAATGTGTGTTTCCCTTACCACCATACCAGGGAGGCTCTTACATTGGAAATTAATGTTCTCGCCTGGGAGGTGTACACACTACTTCCACCCACAACTAGAACCAGTCATAGAGGCTCATCCTATTTTAAGGGGTCAGGAGAGTGTAACCCTCCTGTGCTCCCAGATATTGGAGCATTTATAAGCTACCACAGGTAAGAGTTGGCACAATGTGGGAACTCAGCATGTAGGAATATCCAAAGAAGAAGAACAACAACAACAACAAAAAACACCCACTGCCATCAAGTTGATTCCAACTCATAGCAACCCCCACCTGGTTTCCAAGGCAGTAAATCTTTGTGGAAGTAGATTGCCTTATCTTCCTTCTGTAGCTGCTGGTGGGTTTGAAGCGGCAACCTTATGGCTAGCAGTCTGATGCCTTAGGCTCTGTACCACCAGAGCTCCTGTAGGAATAGCAGGGGTCTCTAAAACACCTCCCTTAGCTCCATTGTTTCAGATTCGGCTGTAATTCTCAAAGATATCTGAGGGGTGCACGTTGCACCTTTACCTAACATGTTCTCCTTGAAGAACAGTACAGGTGAGAGGGGTTTGAGGGGTTTGCCCAGGGCTGTGTCAAGTATCCTTTCGCAGAAGGAGCACCTTGGCTATACTCAGAGTGCTGTGCTGGACTTTCTCTGAGCTAGGCAGCAGGCTCTCATGACACTCTGCTTTTCTACTTTCTTTGGTCAGATGCTGTGACTGAGGTCAAGACTGACATCTATGTGACCAGTTTCGGCCCGGTGTCAGACACCGACATGGTAAGTATAGTTCTTGCAGATGATGCAAATGAAAGATGATGCAAGAGATCAAAGAAAACAATTGGGCCTTTCCCATAGCATGGCCTCTTATCAATGCTCTAAGGAGAAGTCTTACATGAATTCCCTACCCTCGTCCTCCTGTTGTTAGGTGCCATTAAGGCAATTCTGACTCCTAGCAACCCTATGTACCACAGAAGGAAACACAGTCCAGTCCAGTGCCAGCCTCACAATTGTTACATTATTGTGGCCACTGTCTCAATGTGTCTAGTTGAGTGTCTTCCTCTTTTTCACTGACCCTCCTCTTTTCCAAGCTTGATGGCCTTCTCTGGGAACTGGTCCCTCATGATAATGTGGGCAAAGTACGTGAGTCAAAGTCTCACCGTCCTCACTTCTAAGGAGCATTCTGGCTGTGCTTCTGCCAAGACAGATTCATTTGTTCTTCTGGAAGAACACGTTATATTGAATATTCTTTGCCAACACCATAATTCAAATCCATCACTTTTTTCCCTGCAATCTTCCTTATTCATTATCCAGCTTCCACATGCATATGAGGCTTTTGAAATGCCATGGCTTATGTCAGGCTCACCTTAGTCCTCAAAGTGACACCTTAGCTTTTGAGCACTTTAAAGAGATCTTTTGCAGCAGACTGATGCAATATGTCATTCGATTTCTTCACTGCTGCTTTCATGGACACTGATTGTGGGTAGAATGAAATCCTTGACAATTTCAGTATTTTCTATGTTTATCATGATGTCGGTTATTGGTCAGTTGTGAGGATCTTTGCTTCCTTTACATTGAGATGCAATCCATATTGAAGGCTGTATTCTTCGATCTTCATCTTTAAGTACTTCAAGCCTTCACTTTCAGCAAGTGTATCAAGAGTTGTTAATGAGTCTTCCTCCAGTCCTGATGCTGTGCTCTTTCTATGGTCCAACTTCTTGAATTATTTGTTCACAATACAGATTGAATAGCTGTGATGAAAGGATACAACAAAGGTGATACACACCTTTCCTCATTTTAAGCCATGTAGTATACCCTTGTTCTGTTTGAACGACTGCCTCTTGATCTATGTACAGGTTCTTAATGAGCACAATGAAGTGTTCTGGAAATCCCATTCTTCACAGAGTCAAATACCTTTGCACAGTCAATAAAACATAGATAAACATATTTCTGTTATTCTGTGGTTTCAACCAAGGTCCACCTGATATCAGCAATGATATCCCTCATTCCACATCCTCTTCTGAATCCAATTTGAATTTCTGGCAGTTCTTTGTGGATGTACTGTTGCAACCATTTTTGAATTATCTTCAGCACAAGTTTACTAGAATGTATATTAATGATATTGTTTGATAATTTCCACATTCTGTTGGATCACCTTTCTTTTAGTGTTGTTGTTGTTGTTATGTGCCATCGAGTCAGACCCAACTCATAGCAACCCCTTCTTGGGTTTCCAAGGCAGTATCACTACAGAAGTAGATTGCCCCATCTTCCTTCCGATTTCTTTTAGTATGGGCACAAATATGGATCTCTTCCAGTTGATTGGTCAGGTACTGGTCTTCCAAACTTATTGTCACAGGCGAATAAGCACTTCCAGCATTGCATCCATTTCTTGAAACAGCTCAATAGGTATTTTTTCAATTCCTGGAGGCTTGTTTTTCCCCAATGCCTTCAGTGCAGCTTTGACTTCTTCCTTCAATACCATTGGTTCTTGATCATATGTTACTTCTTTAAATGATTGAATGTTGACTAATTCATTTTAGTACAGTGACTCTGTGTATTCCTTCCATCTTCTTTTGATACTTCTTGCATTGTTCTTTCAGCTTGAGAAATGCTAAGTGTGTTCTTCCCTTTGGTTTTATAATTCAAGCTCTTTACACATTTCACTATGTTGTGTTGTTGTTATGTGCTGTCGAGTCGGACCTGACTCATAGTGATCCCTCCTTGGGTTTCCGAGGCAGTATCACTACGGAAGCAGATTGCCCCATCTTCATTTCACTATAGTACTTTATTTTTTTTTCTCAAGCTGCCCTTTGAAATTTCTTGTTTAGCTCTCTTATTTCATGATTTCTTTTATTTTGTTTTTAACATTTTATTATGATTTGGATGAAAGTTTACCAAGCAAATTCATTTTCCATTCAATAGTTCATACATATTTTATTTCAAGATGTTGACTGCAATCTCCACAAGGTGACAGCTGTGTTCCTACTCCCTCCCTGTGGTTACCTTTTCCCTGTGTCCTTCTTTGCTATGCATCCCTGCCTTCTGAGCTTTCTCCCTGCACAAATGCTGCCCTTCTGATCTTCCATGATTGACTGCTGTAAGGAGTGCACCTCCTTGGTGTAATTGTTCACCTAGTAGACCTGTCTATTGTTTGGCTGAACATTAAGTCATGGAAGTGAGTTCAGTTCCAGTCCCAAAGGGTGCCTAGGGGCCATAGTCTCAAGGATTTCACCAGTGTCTACCAGACCAATAAGCCTAGTCTTTTTTTTTTTTTTTT